GAAGAGAGAGAAAGAAGGGAAGAGAGAGAAAGAAGGGAAGAGAGAGAAGGGGAGAGAGAGAATGGAAGAGAGAGAGAAGACGGCGGGCGGCGGCGGCAACGGTGAGGGGAAGAAGAGGCAGACAGAGTTAGCAGGCGAGAGAGACAGACTGAAATCGGGAGAAAATGAAAAGGAAGAAGTTAGGGTACAATAGATCAGACTTATTTGTGACGACATTGTCGTCGTAAATAAATTTAAAAATTGTCACAAATACCCCACATCTAGAAATTATTTGCGACGACATTCTGTCATCGCAAATAATCATTCCCCCGCATTTGTTCTTGGTCAAATGTGTATAGCTTATTTGCGACGACAAAGAGAAAAACATCGTCGCAAATAGAGTGATATTATTTGTGACGACACGTGTCGTCGCAACTAATAAGATATTTGCGATGACAAGTCGTCGCAAAAAATAGATTCCCTTTGGGGCCAAAAATCCGCGCCATTGAAAATTGGGCGCCTAAACTATTTGCGATGACATGCTTAATTTATTTAACGGGGATTAATTGCGACGACATGTCATCGCAAATATTTTATTATTTACGACAACATATGTCGTCGCAAATAATGTCGTCACAAATAATGTCGTCGTAAATGACATTTATTGTTGTAGTGGTAAATTATTATAATTAGTTAACCAAAAGAATAATGTTCAAATTGATGAATTTCGTCAGAGATTAAAATGATTGTACTTAGTTAAAGCACTGCTACTAATTTGTCATATCAGCTTTCGTTTTCAACTACATTAACTTTATATTTATATCTTTCCAAACTCACAGCTTGCTAAAAGTTAATGTGAACTCTGAACTTTTCAGTGTCAAATGATTGAAAGGCAATTTAGAAACATAACAGGGCGCATGGCCCTAGGGTTAATTACATCACTTAGACTTTGTTTGTGTGCACTAATTTTTCCCCAAGGAGAAATAACCGGAAAATTAAAACTCCATATATAATTGAGGCTGCGATGACATTTGACATATGATTTAATTAAGGAAATAAATAAATTTCATATAGACACGACACCTGGTTTGAAAACACTAATTTATAATTTGTGTACAGAGATTTGACTGCGCTCTCATATGCAATATCGTAGGACATGATCATATGACTGGACAAGAAATTTAGGCATTGTTTGGTGTTAAGGAAAAGTGGAAGAAGAGATCGAGAGTGGCCGGATTGCTAGTAAATCTTAGGACTTATTGTTTGGTACGAATGGATAAGAGGAGAAAATATATTTGTGGTGAGAGATTCAAAATCCTCTCCTACACTCCAATTATTTATGACCCTTTGAAGTATTTTGAGAAGAAAAATCTTTGCGATCCTTACCACTGTAAAAAAGGATATTCTTGTTTTTTTCCCCTCGTTTTCGCATTTAGGTGTTTTATTTTTTGTTTCATGGTTCCTCTTATCAAACAAAACATAATATTAAACATGACACGTTCGCTAAGATTTTCCGAGGACTTGACGGCCCCCATGGCCTGAACCCTAGCTAGCATTAATACCACACGCTAATTTTAGTTAGGCCAATGAGTAGATCAAAGATTGCCTTTTTGCCACTAGAAGGGGGCCGAGAGTTTGTAATACAAAAACGTGCTTGTCCTTTTTTACTGTGTGTAACGTTACTACGTAGTACTAGAGCCGCCTCTTCTTCCATATGATCACAAGACATAGAGGGACGCTTGGCCACGTTTTATATTATATTATTTACACTTACGCTGAAACATATAAATTATATCCAAGCACTCCATCATACATGGGGCAAAAAAGAATAATAAAAGGAACTTTTTTTTTTTTTGCTGAAGTAATAAAAGGAACTTGCAATTATCTAAACATTGAAAGCATAGTAATTTGTCAAGTAAATCTCTTGGAAAAATCAGGTAATGACTGTTTTTTTACCACTTTTTTATTAAATGGCCGAAGTTTTTATTTTTTAAATAAATAATCGAACTTTTTTTTTTAACAAAATGACCTTTTTTTAGTAGTCAAATTATTATTTTTTGAACGGAAAATTTTATTAATAATTAATGAATTGCACAAATAATCTTAAATGACCACAACTTACAAGAGAATTTGACCCCGGATATTGACTGGATCCACCAGTAAATATGGATGAAGCACAAGGGCGAATACAAGTGTCGAAACCCAATGGGGAACAACCCGCTTGGTACAAACAAAATCGAGCGCGGCCACATTAACAAGAACAACTACAATTGATGGATAAAACCACTCAATTGAGATGAAACCTCTAATACTGGGGACATAAGTGACATGGCCTAGAAATAAATCAAGGTGTAAACAAACACACACACCGTCGATAACCAACTCAGACGGGCATGACACATAAACAAAATCTGAAAGTGGGGAAACCACCTCTATTATTACAATACATAAACTTGGCGAAAACAACATCTTTATTAAAATTAACAAAATCCTATGAAACCTGCGAATAGCCTCAGCCGTACAAGAATAGATGTTGACGACAAGCCAACAATCATTGTACAGAAGCAAAGAAATTGGATCTGAGTAGAGCCGTCGCAACAGAAGCACAACGGCCACTGACGAAGTTGAACACAAAAACAGCCCAAAACCCTTGCACCACATATCCACCAGTAACCTCTCACTCCTCTCGCGCTCATAAACCACAGACCACACCTGCACGACCTTAGCCACCGTCTCAAGGGCCAAGAGTCTAGCGACCAGAGTCCGGCTCTAAGAAGATTCATTATTGATTTACCAATGATTTATTAATAAACATGTTACTCGTTCATTGAAATTGATTAATTACTAGTTTATTATTCAATTAATTATTAACTGACATTGATTAATAATGAAAAATTATCAAGTTAATCAGTGATTGTTCACTAAGTTAATAAAAGAAATGACTATTTTGTTAATTTACAAACATGTGGCTATTTATATATATATATAATATATATTATATATATATTATATATATATATAAACATCTTTAAAAAAGGGTCATATATGCTGGTATCCCTTATTATTTTTCCTTTTGGACAGGGAGCTTGCGAAGTAGTTATTTATGTCTGAGTGTTCTGACTACCAACCTATTGGGAAAAAAAAAAAAAAAAAAAAAAAAAAAAAAAAAAAAAGAAGAAGAAAAGAGCCGTTTGTCTTCGACGTAAATGGCCAGTACCAAGATAGCTAAACAATCGAAGAAATGGAGAATTTTCTAAATTAAAGCATGAAATATTACATGAACTTGTAAACTATTCCAGAAATATCACGCCTACCAACTTCAAATGATGAGATCATGACCACATAATTTGGAGTGCAATATTGTCCAATATATTCAGACACGGTGACACATACCTAATTATAAAACTACGTGCACGCTTCTAAATATCATTAATTCGAGACATTAAAATCCAAATCAAGTATTAATCACCAACAAGCTAGTTTTGGAGCCAATTATCCATTTCATCGCGAGGGTCAATCATAGAAACTGTAGTATCCGATTGTAACTCAACTCCAAACAGCGCCATATCTTGAGAAAACAAGAGGGTTTCATCACACCCTAATTTGTTGGTATTAGTATTGGATGATGAGCTTATGATCACATTATGAAAGTCACTATCAATATCAATATGATCATCAATCACGCGATCATATTCATGTCCTTCAACGTTGCCAAAACAATCAGAGAGCTCCAAGTCCATGCAGTTAATGTTGAAAATATCAGACAGAAACTTGTCGTCGGTCTCAAAGTCAAGATCATGTAGAGCCATGATTTGGGAAGAATTACTTTCATCAAATGGAACTAAGGGCTCATAATCAAGCTGCCCCTCGCCCGCCACCATCTGACAGTAAATGTCGTTGATTACTGCATCAACCGCAGGTTTAGAACTGTTGTCGTGCTGATGATGATGATCAAGTGGTAGTACGGGTGGCTTTAGTGCGTCCTCTTGAGGGAGGAGTACGACTTTGGTGCACCTGGTTGCTTTGGTTCGAACGACACGCGAGTTTGGAGTGCTAGTAGTACTGCAGGTTTTAGATGGTTTCTGGTCACCGGAAAATTGTGTCGTTTTGTTGGAACTTGGCGGTGGTGGTGGTGGTGGTGGTAATTTGTGTAATTTGTTTGATGATGATGGTTTAGCAGGACATGATGTCGTATTTGCAGCTCGGTCATGAGATCCAGATTGAAATTTCTTTCCAATGTTGGTGTTCCAGTAGTTCTTTATTTCATTGTCTGTTCGGCCTGGTAGCCGCCCAGCTATCAAAGACCATCTGCATTGATTATATATATAGATATATAGATATATAAATACATTGCAGTAATTGTCAGTAATGATATATATTAAGATATAACATAATACTATAGAATAATACTAGATAGTTACCCATACATACATTACTATTTTTTTTTTTTTGTATATATGTTTATATGTGCCTGTATGTATAATAATAGACAAGTGATGAAATATACATATATATATATATATATATATATGTATGTATGTATGTTAGAAGATGGGGACCTGTTGCCCAAGAGATTGTGAAGTCTGATGATGAGCTCCTCTTCGTCACGAGTAATGTTACCTCTTTTGATGTCAGGTCTCAGATAGTTCAGCCATCGCAAACGGCAACTCTTCCCACATCGCTTCAGTCCTGCAACAATTAATATGATTACATTACACCGCCCGACGTTTCCTTTTAAGTTTTTAATTCTTCTTCTTCATCATCATCATCTTCTTCTTCTTCTTCTTCTTCTTCTTTTTTTAATATATAAAAGATCTTTTTTTAATATATAAAAGATCTTTTTTTAATATATAAAAGAATAAGAGTAGTGTAAGAAAAAGAAATTGGAAACCTGCTCTTTTGGGAAGGTTTCTCCATTTGCCTTCACCGTGAACTTTAATGTACTCCGTGAGTATTTTGTCTTCCATAGCTGTCCACGCCCCTCTATTTACTCCTTCCTTTGGACAACATGGACTTCTCCCCATCTCTCTCTCTCTCTCTCTCTCTCTCTCTCTCTCGGTGCTGAATATAGTGGAAGAAGTCTCTACATGCTCGAGTTGCTTGTCTCTGCATAACCTGGCCGTTCCTCTATATATACTTCGCAGTTTGAGGAACCCAAAACCTACATTATCATCATCATCACGTATCTTTTTATTATTATTGTTGTTGTAGTTAAGAAAAGGTTAAAAGAAAAAAAAGAATAAGAAACTCCCCCAATTTGTAGTATTAATTGCATGTGGGTTTGGGGGGGCCATCCTTCTGGCTGCTAAGTGTTAAATTATACATGCGCATATATGATCTCATCAGGGGATTGATTACGACATTTGATAGGTCTCATAGTTAGTCAAATAGACAATAATTATTTTACCTTAAAATATTAGATCCTTTCGTAATAGGATCTCCTATCGGTAGTACATTTTTTTTTTATCATTAAATGTGATTAAAATTAAATTAAATAAAAAAAAGAGTTTACATAACATAGTTTTGAATAAAGGTTTAATAACTAAAAAATAAAAATCTACCCGTAGCTCAATTTTTCAAGACCTGCTGTAAAAAATTTTTAGAGGACGTTTAATTTATGTATTCAGAATTATTTTCGTTTTACGTGTATTTTTTGTAAGAAAAAATATTATAAAGAATCATGAATCATGATTCAGAATCAGCGTCTTGAACAGTGTATTAATGATTGTAGTAGTAGCTTGAACAATGAAAACTACATGTATTAATGATAAATATCACTATAATAAATATATTCACCTTCCCTTCTTTTCATTGTTAAAGGGCTGCTCTCTCCTTTAGCTAGCTAACGTTCTCGATCGAACTAAATCTTGAATGTTGGTTGACGTACACAAAAATTTGCTAAGGCTTAAGCAAGCATCAAGCTCTAGCAATGACCCGTCCTCTAACTCCATATTTGTATAAGAAACATCTTGTATAGTAGTAACGCTTCTGTGAACTAGGAACGTCGTTATCTACTAAATTTTGCCAATGTACATGTTCTCCCATACATATATACAAAAATCTACATATCTATACGTATATATGTATATATGTGATGTATGCATGTGTGTATATGCATGCATGTATGTATGTAGTACACATACACACATATATGAAGTATCTTCCTGTAACATTAACTACTTTGTCCTTTTCCCCAACGAGTAAGGAGTAAATCCTGTTGTTCATTTTTGCTAGAATAGAATTCATTCTCTTATACGTCCGTTACATCAAGGACTCGTTTATTTCATTAATTCAAATTTTCAAATTTAATTTTGTTACAGTTAAAAGCTCCCACAAAAAGTCACATTTAACTTTTCTGCTACAGTGAAATTTTTTTACATAAAATCACATCTCAGCTCGAATTGAAAACTTAAATCCATGAACTGAACGAGATTCAAATAATTTCATATAAACAACATTGATTTTTACATGACTAAGGTAGCAATAATACATTCCTATATAGGCTGGTCTAGCAATATTTGTTTCCTTTTCCCAATTATATATGCTTTTGTTTGCGCTAAGAAAATCAAAGTTCCATTAGAACAAAGGAAAAAGATAAATCACATATTGGACAAGTGCCAATTATTTTTTACATATAAAAAGGGAGAAAAAGACTGGAGCACTTTTGGCACCAAATAAAATAAAAAAAAGAAAAAGAAAACCAGTAGTGCTTTATTGTGGCACTAAGTGGATAGCAATCCAGTCACCAACTTGTTATTTTTGTTGAGCCCCTAGACTAATTCTTTATAGGATTTAGGAAATAATTCCATGCTTTTGTATTTAAATTTTTTTTCGAACTTATTTTTTTGCAGTTCCTTACGCCAATAGTACATATTGGTGTTTGCATTTATGTATTTCAAATACATAGATTTGACCTAGTTGTTAATAGATCTTTGTTCAACTTTGAAGTACTAATGACAGTTTCTTGAAAGAAGACGGTTCTTTTCAACAACAAAAAAAAGACAGAATTCGTTAATATTTTCTGGGGAAAAGAAAAAAACAGTTTTGCATATATATAACCCAGATGACAAATAATTTTTACATGATCAAATTTAGTAACCTTATTTTAATCGAAATGTAAGAATCTATTTCACATGTGTTTCGATGCCGCATGGATGGCCTGTATTTGGAGAGAATGGGTATGTATGCATATGTATATTATATCTGTTAAGTATTTTTATTAGTTGGCAATTTATTAAAAATCTTGTAAAAATTCAAAAAAAAAGGTTCAAGAAGATTTCGTATTGCAATTAGATTTGGAGAGATAAGGATATGGTATTGGTCAAAGAAAGATAATGCATTGGTTATTTGAATTTAAATGGGATTCTAGAAAGCGATAAGGATCAAAAAGATTATGTAGAGAATTTGAACTAATGATTATTTGGATTTGGGAAGGCTATAAACGTGGAAGATAAAGGAGAGATGGATTTGAATTTAAATGGGAGATAAAGCTTGCATGAAGATCAAGTTGTTTTCGGATTCGAATTCTTGGCTTCATCTGATTATTGTTAGGAGTTGTTCAAAATTGGAGATTTAAAATTTAAATGGCTTATATATATATATATTTATATATATGCATTCACGTGAACTACACAAAGAAGATTAAGCTTGAGCTGCACATATGATTGGAACTTGAAATTTTACTTGGTCAAAGAAAATCTAAATATAACTTGCTATAATGAAAGATAAGGCATTCAAAGATCAAGTGTTATCTTGCAACAAGGATAATTAATTCAGATTTGAAAGTTTACTGCATAATTTGAATTGGAGATTGAGAAGATAATGTGAAGATATTTTGGAGCCTATCTAAGAGAGAGAATCATGGAGATAATAGAGATCTTATCGAGAGTGGATTTGAATGAGATTCTCTTGACTTTACTTAAAGACTTTGTTTCAGAGTATTTGTGACACATATTTAATAGAATATCTCCAGAGGAAAAGTTTGTGGATTTGAGAACTTATTACTGAGAAAATATTCAGAGAGATGTATGTGAGTTTTTATGAGTTATTGAGATCGTCATTCGGGAGAGGGATTTGTTGCTTTCGGGAGGAAGCTCTGCTGGTCAAAGGGAGTTTGTCAGGTGAATAGAAGATGTGTGGTGCACGCTAAACAATCAGTATGGAGATTCGTCACAGCGGCGTCATTTTCTAGGAGGGAGTCCTTGAGTGAATAAGTTCTTCCAGTGTCTGTAATTTCTGAAATATAGTGAACTGTTTATTGTTTGGGCGTGGCCCCACAGATGTAAGTGTGTGCACCGAACTGTGATATCATATTGTGTGTTCCTTTACATTCTGTACTTTATTATGCTCGAGCAACTGAACGTAATTAACCCGGATCTTAATTAATTAAGTCGTGTTCCAGACAATGTTCTAACATCATCTGAAACACTAAACGTAACATCACATCTAACAATATCTATATATATAAACAGCATAATCGAATGTATGACATGAGTTATTCGATTGGGAAGACTAGCTAGCTAGCTATAGGTGGAATCTTCATTGATCGATGTCGCACTGGTAATTAAACAATAATGAAAAGTGAGGCTATACATAGAAATTAATTAAAGCTGAGCAGAGACATTCCTTGTAAAGGGATTATCTTAGACACAATATGTATCCTCAATTAGGAGGTCATATTGCATAGAAAGGACTTTAGTAATAGATTCCTTAATGTGGACTTTTGAAGGAGTAAAATTAATCAAAAGCTTAAACATGTGTAGTTGGGGATATTCATGCCCTCTCTCAACAAACCTTCAAAAGCAATAAAGTTCAGAAAGTTAGAAATATATAGAAATATATATATGTATGTATATATATAGGGGGCTGTTAGAAGAAGAAAGCAACTCCTCATCGTTAGCTACTACCATTAAACGAATGGGTACGTGTCAATCGAGTGCATATCTATTATTGACGATTTCTTTATAGTTTTCCTGATACAACTTGGTTATGAAATTTTAAATTATAATATATATTTTTTAAAAACAATATCTACCTGATTATTGTTAGGAGTTGTTCAAAATTGGAGATTTAAAATTTAAATGGCTTATATATATATATATATTTATATATATGCATTCACGTGAACTACACAAAGAAGATTAAGCTTGAGCTGCACATATGATTGGAACTTGAAATTTTACTTGGTCAAAGAAAATCTAAATATAACTTGCTATAATGAAAGATAAGGCATTCAAAGATCAAGTGTTATCTTGCAACAAGGATAATTAATTCAGATTTGAAAGTTTACTGCATAATTTGAATTGGAGATTGAGAAGATAATGTGAAGATATTTTGGAGCCTATCTAAGAGAGAGAATCATGGAGATAATAGAGATCTTATCGAGAGTGGATTTGAATGAGATTCTCTTGACTTTACTTAAAGACTTTGTTTCAGAGTATTTGTGACACATATTTAATAGAATATCTCCAGAGGAAAAGTTTGTGGATTTGAGAACTTATTACTGAGAAAATATTCAGAGAGATGTATGTGAGTTTTTATGAGTTATTGAGATCGTCATTCGGGAGAGGGATTTGTTGCTTTCGGGAGGAAGCTCTGCTGGTCAAAGGGAGTTTGTCAGGTGAATAGAAGATGTGTGGTGCACGCTAAACAATCAGTATGGAGATTCGTCACAGCGGCGTCATTTTCTAGGAGGGAGTCCTTGAGTGAATAAGTTCTTCCAGTGTCTGTAATTTCTGAAATATAGTGAACTGTTTATTGTTTGGGCGTGGCCCCACAGATGTAAGTGTGTGCACCGAACTGTGATATCATATTGTGTGTTCCTTTACATTCTGTACTTTATTATGCTCGAGCAACTGAACGTAATTAACCCGGATCTTAATTAATTAAGTCGTGTTCCAGACAATGTTCTAACATCATCTGAAACACTAAACGTAACATCACATCTAACAATATCTATATATATAAACAGCATAATCGAATGTATGACATGAGTTATTCGATTGGGAAGACTAGCTAGCTAGCTATAGGTGGAATCTTCATTGATCGATGTCGCACTGGTAATTAAACAATAATGAAAAGTGAG